ATAAGCATATTATATGTTCACTTCTGCTTATTAAGTGAGTGACTTATGTTCAAACATTTTGCATCTAGTATTTAGAGATTTTAAGGTAAACATACTCATTTTTTAATTTTCTGTTCACTCTAACAATCCAGCTGTTCTAATTGAAAATTTCTTGGTGGGTCCCCAGCTAAGCTAAAATAAGATATTTTCTCACTCTGAACTTCTATTGAATAATAACACAATTGTACATCTGCTTGTGAAAAATAATTAGAGTTAGTTGTATGTCTTTCTTAGATAGCCTCATTATGTAGGATGCAAATGAGTAGAATATAGGTCCTGCCCTTAATTTTCTCAGTCCAACATTCTTGAAATGATTGCATAGTCTTGTATTCTGCTAGGAAAATCCCATCATCTGTTTTATATTTTATTCCAGAAAAATATTAAAAACTAGTATTATTTTCTGGGTATATGATTGTGCTTCTATTTTTATACATTTCTGTTTTTCGATCCACTAAAATCCCATCATCTTAAACTTTTTAAAATTCTGCCTGCTTACTTGGTATTCTAGTAGGGTTATATATTAATAATATAGTACATATTATACATAGTAAAATGATCTCATTTCCTAAATTTTGAGAAAAATATAATTATATATATATTTAATTTTGTTTCCTTAAAACTGCTTACCTCAGGAATCATTCTACTGGATCATTAAAAGAGAGCACATGTATGTATAGTTCCTGACAAATAAATCACAAATACTAATAGGATGTTCAAATCCAAATCCCTACTAGTTATGGATCTACCTGACCTTAGTTCACCAAAGTGATACAATTCAATAAATGGTAGCCATTATTATTCTGTAATCTCAAACTCTAGCCAAAGATGGGGCTAAATTGTGAACCTGGCCTAAAGAGCAGTTACTCTCTCTCTGGTGCACATCCTACATGTGAGCACATTTTTAAGGAAAATGTGTTCCATGACAGTTAACACCGTAATAAAAGACATCAGAGGAAAGCGTGTGAAAGCAGGACTCCAGGTAAGTAGAAGGTAGACTTATTTAAGGGAGTTGTTTTGTTGTTAATTTTAGAAACTTGCTGCCCATTGAACCATCAATAAATAATGGCTTTGGCTTCCCTCTCATCCTTCTTCTCCTGTATCCTAGACTCCTTCCCTTGAGGGAATAACCACTCTATAGTTCTGTCTCTAATTTGTCTGCCTAAAGTCTTACAACTAAGATATGAGGACCTAACCCATTCATCTTGGTTTTAGTGTTCTCTTACTGGCATTTAGGTCTGTCACAATAATGTCCGATATATAGTTGGTCCAGAAAATATAATATAAAACCCACTGCAGGGCTTCCCCTGGTGGTACAGTGGTTTAGCACTGGGCTGTGAAGCTGCCCGCAGCCTCTGCAGCTCCTGTTCCATCCCCGGCCGCCAGCAAGGGTCCCACATGGCGCGACAGACCTCTCCTCTGGCACCCGCTGCTCCCCTCTGCAGTGTATTTCGTCAGTCTGCCTGCTCTGCTCTCCCCTCTGGCTCTGGTGAATTTTCTCACCCTCCCATGCTTCTGACTGTACCCAGTGCTTGCATAAATAAATAAATAAATCTTTAAAAAAAATATATATATATATATATAAAACCCACTGCAATCCCTTATCTAGAATTCCAAAATCCAAAAAGCTGTGAACACAAGTTTTTTTGTAAATTCAGGTGCTAAATCTGACCTGAATGAACATGAGAATATTTAGTCTTTATCCCACTTGGTGTGAATGATCATACATTTCACTAGAGAAATATTAATGTGTTTCTTTACTGTTATTAGACTCTTGCTGGGGGTACCTACTGAGCCACTGTGCAGGCCAGGCAGTCACACACCATTTCACATTAAGAAAGGTCCTGCATTTGACTTAAAGTTTTACTGTTACCATCTTGAACTCTTTAAAAACTTTAAACAGAGGTCTTGCACTTTTTATTTTGCAAGCCCTGCAAGTTAAACAACTAATTCTAGTTATACATATTTTTCTAAAATCTGAAGAGTTATGAATTTTAAAATACATCTGTCTTTATGGCTTTGGCTAAGGAGCCTGTGCTACTACACTGTACTACTCTGATTATTACCGACCCCAAGCACTTCATACATGTTGAATATAACCCTGTACCTTACATATTGCTTTCTTCATTTTAAAATTGAGCAAAGTAAGGTTCAGAATTATTCTAATGTTTTTTAATTCACACAGACGGTAAGTGGCAGAGCTGGGATTTACACTAAAGGTCTACATGACTGTGAACTTTGTACTTTTCTTAGAAGTAAGGTGCTTTGGAAGCATTAGAATGAACCATATGCAATTGCCAATACTTAATTATTTTTTAAGTAGAAAATTCGTAATTTCACCTGGCTTAACTTAATAGATATGTTTGCTTGTAAAATATAAGTTCCCTTTATCTTTTTTTTTAGTTTGAATGATGACCAAACTAGTGTTTCTGTTAAAATAAAGAAAAAGTTTCAGTGAAGCTAGAAGAAAAATTTATTGTAGTTCAATTTAAAACAAGTTGCATGTCTCATCCTGTCTTACCAGAGATGATATCACTGCTTCTAGCTGGGGAGGTCCAGTCACATGGGAGAGTCTGTTTTTATTGTGATCAGCTGCAGACTATCAGCAAGAATGACCTCATCTGCAGCCTGAGGGGGGTTGACCTTTGACCATATGGGCTTGTGAAGCAGAGAAAAAGGGCTTCACAGGCTGAGGAATGTAAAACAGAGAAGTGTCCTTCAGCCTGACAAAGCTTATCAAGCATGTGTTAAATGCAAATGCTCAGACTTGGATATAATGTAAAAGCAAGTAAAAAAAAGAACAGTGAGAGACCTGGGAGTTGGGTGTGTCCTTTGATGTTTCTTGGTAATATTAGAAATATGTATTTTGGGGTTTCTAATAATAAAAGATAAAAAATTCACCTTTTTAAAATGATGCATTTACTGATTTTCCATAAAGAGATAGTAGGATTTACATTCTTATTGTATTCTGTTTCCATGAGATATCTTAGACCCAAATAAATAATTTAGTCTGTTAATGGCTAGGTTAATTGCCTAGTTTTTTCCTAAAATAAATAATAAAATAATCTATGAGACATTCTCTTCAGTTGACTGTTTTAACTGTTGCAGTGATAGTGAAGATTCCACAATAAGGGGCAGACAACACACTCACATGTGTCCAGGAATGTGTGGAACATTAGTGGCAGAAGTTGTGTATTGAGTATTCTTTCCCTGACCTGCTTACTTCCACTCACAGATAGAAAAGCTTTCAGTATTACAGATTTTCCTCTGTTCAAAAATTCTGGAATAACCAGAAATTACTTAATATTTTAATGTTCTTAACATCTATCCTTTGTTGTAGCACCATGGTTGGCATCTCTGAAAGTCATTTTAAGCAACATAAAGTGAAAGATCAGAAAGGATTACATCTATCTCCTGGTTGGTTATTGTTAACTAATATCTTCCAAATCAAACAGTTTGTGGGAAGCAGGTTTTTTGTGTTTCCTTTGCATTAGAGAGATGAAAAAATTTCCAAAACAGTACTAAAAATCGGAATGCTGAGATTAGAAACTGACAATATTTCATGCAGGTGAAAAAGGCAGATTGTTATTCTAATTTTTTAAGGATTTTTTTAATTTATGCATATAAGAACTGGGGGGTAGGCCAGAAGTGCGTGGTGGGGGGGGTACCTAAAGGGAGGGAGGGTGAAGAGGATTCACCAGAGACAGTGAGGAGCAGAACAGGCAGATCTACTGAAATACACTGCTGAGGGGAGCAGTGGGTGAGACAGGAGAGGTCTGCTGCGCCATGTGGGTTAGCTCCCTGGTGGGTATTGAACTCATGCTGCAGTGGCTGGCAATAGCTTGATAGCGCTGAGACTTAACACCTTGTGCAATCAGGGAGGCCCCATTATTCTAATTTTAGTTGAGTTGTTACCCAACTTCACAAGTCAAGTGCTTTACTTTTTCTAAATGATTTCATATCTTACTGCCTGCTCCCCCTTCCTAAAGTAGAACAAATCTCATTCCTTCAAGCTGAAAACATGACAGTACCAATGGCTGTAAAAGATGTGTGAACAACAGCTGATGATCTAGGTGGTTAGTGTTATAATTATTCCCTATGTTGTTATTGTTCTTGTGGTGCCAGTGGAGATCACATTAATATTTGCCCAGTATATTTCTATTTGATAAGAGTCTGTTCAAAATAGATGTCATCTTTCAACCAAAAATATTTATATTCCAACAATAATTTAAATAAACAGATTAGAATTGTAGAGAGGTTTCCTTAGTATATACCCGTTATACTGGAAAAAAAAAAAAACATGGCAATTACCTTCTGTGACAATGACCCCTTTTAATTTACATACTTTAAATGGACTGTCCAATACTTAAGAACATAGCATAAAGAGGTAGTGTAAAACTTTATTACAGAAAATGTATAGAAAGGTACTGTATAGTCATGTCCTTTTCCCCACTCTAAAGAGCTCTTTTTTTTGCTTCATTTTTTTATTTTTAATAATTAATTTTTAATTTTGTACATCATTGTTCATTTTTAAACAATATTTCCTTTCCCCCACCCCCTCAGGTGTAGTCCCAGATCTTATTGAATTTATAATTGAATTAAGTCGATGGATACATAAATTATGGTTTATCCATACAAGGAAAAACTCCTCAGCCTGAATAGGACTAAGCTATTGATACTCTTAGCAACATGAACATATCTCAAGATAATTATGCTGTGTCAAAGAAACCAAACCAAAAAGAATACATTCTGTATGGCTCTTCCAGTTATATAAAATTGTTAGAAAATGCAGCTAATCCATGCTGACTGAAAGCAGACCATGGGTAGCCTAAAGATGAGAGAAGGGGACAGAGAAGGACGAGAGGTGGCATTACAATGGGGCCAAAGGAAACTCTTCGTGGTGATGGGTATGTTCACTGTTAATTATGATGAAGGTTTCTTAAGGGTATGCTGTCAAAACTTACCAAATTGTGTCCTTTAACCATGTACAGTGTATTGTATGTCAGTTATCTCTCAGTCAAGTTTTTGAACAACATTAGGCCTGGAAAATAGAAGATGTTTTCATTTGCCTGAGGTCTCAGGGCTCAGTGGTGGAGGAACAAGGATTTGCAATCAGGTTTCTGACACTGAAGTCACCAAAGAGCAAAAAGAAAGATTCTGCCAAATGGTAGCCAGTTAGAGTGAGCTCCTTCACCAGAGAGGGTTCCCTGGGGACTAGGAACTCAACTCAGTTATACAGAGGTTGTGGATATTCTACATTCCAGAAGGGAAGTCTTCTAGGACAGGGATACTGGTTTGAGAAGCTTAATGTGAAGTTTTATTTTTATGTTTTGACCAGTTTTCTGTGTAAGTCTTCTAAAATAATATTGGTGACCTTAATTCACAGAGAAGAACAAATATGGATGATTTTATCTGGCTTTCCTCAACCAGTATTGATTACTTAGCAAGTAAGTCTTAAGGATCAAGAAATATAGATACTACAGTCTTGAAAAGTTATGAGGAAATCTTCATGTACTCTTTTATAAATGAGGGAACTATTAGAAAAAACAATACATGGCAAGCCTATCATTTGGCAGATGGTTGTTTAGGCCAGAATTGTTCAACTCTAGCATTATTGACATTTGGAGTTGGAGAATTCTTTGTTAAGGGGATTCCCTGTGCATTGCAAGATGGTTAGCAGCATTCCTATCCTCTAACCACTAGATGCCTGCTGCACCCTTCCCCAATTGTGACATCCAAAATGTTTCAGAATTGCTAAATGTCCTTTTGTAACAGGGTGGTCCCCAGGAAAGGGGGAGGTTCCCTGCCCCACCCAAGAGAGGGTGGAGCTGAGCAGGGAGAGGAGAAGCAGCAGAGGAGACTGAGGAAGGAAGCAGGATGGAGCCAGAAGGAGACCTGGAGGAGGCGCATGGAGCCTAGAGACACGTGAAAAAACTGCGCTTGTCTTTTGGTCGTGGACTGGGTGACACAGACGTGGGTGAGACCCGTGGGGAGGTGAAAGGTGACAATGGCAGCTTTTATTTTGATGTTGATTTTGCTCTTTTCCTTCCGGACTTGTCTGGTTGTTTCTGACCCTTTTCTGTGGGTCCCCACTGGAAGATGCTTTAGACTTGTGGCAGGCTTTGGGGCCTTGTTCTGGGCCGATCCCATATGGATGGACTTTTACCCACGAGGGAACGGGTAACTTTGGGTGCTTGATTTAGAAACTAGATTCTTTGCCTTTCCTGTATTGTTTCCTAATTGTATTAAAGTTCCTTCCCATTAAAGTCTCATATGTTTTGTGTTGATGCGGCGGATGGCAGAACCCATTTAGAATAGGCAGGTTTGCAGGGTATGGGCTGCCCCTCTCCCTGTCCTATAACACTTTGGTTACAAAGTCACCCTTGATTGAGAACCATTGCCTCTGACCCACAGCCATGTTTTATACAAATCCAGAAATTAAGCAAACAATGTATTTAGAAAAAAATATTTGCTTAGTATCAGAGATGGTTGGCATGTTTAATATACTTCCTGTAAATAGTTAAAACATGGACAGCTAGAAAAAGAAACATAAAAGGGCCTCGCCTGTGGCGCAGCGGTTGAGCGCTGAGTTGCCAAGCTGCCCACAGCCTCTGTAGCACCAGTTCAATCCCCGGCCGCTGGGGGAGGGTCCCACATGGCGCGCAGACCTCTCCTGTCGCCTGCTGCTCCCCTCAGCAGTGTACTTCGGTCCTTCTGCCTGCTCTGCTCCCTGCTCTGGCTCTGGTGAATTCTCTCACCCTCCCGCGCTTCTGACTCTACCCAGTGCTTATATAAATAAATAAATAAATCTTAAAAAAAAAAAAAAAAAGAAAGAAAAGAAACATAAAAGTAATAATTATTTTTTAAATTCCAAGTCAGTTTACCACTCATAAAGAGTTTTGAAATTTAGATTACTTTGTAGCTTGGTCCTTTTGTTGTTAATAGATTAGGCAAACATCCTCAGATCTTGTTGCCTGCAGTAATAGTTTCCCATCGGATAAATATCTGGTTACATCAAATCTTTCCCTAGTCTTCAAACAACAAGAATCATGCTCTATAGATAAATGTAATGCCCTTATGTAAGAATTTGGAATAAATTTATTTTAAACATTAATACAGAAAACCTCTCACACTTGAAATGATTCCGTTTCTATTAATCAAATGAAATTCAAGCAGTTGATCCTGATATAACCTGAACAGCAAAAACCCAGAACTAAAAATTCAATCACAAAACCATGTGAATAGAATGTGGGTTTGTGTTTGATTTATAAACTCAAATTTTAGATTTTTCTTTGGAGTAAAACAGGCTCCTCGCTGCTTACAAGGTTATTTCAGAGTTGTAAAACTTCTCGCTGTCTTTCCTTGCATATCCTCATTCAGTCTTGGTTGCCACAATCAGACAGACAAAAAGTGCAAGGAAAACATAACTATATTCTGGCCTCTCCATTAGAAACCTTAGCAGGTTAAATAGATATACTCTCTTTCTGTAATTCCAATTTTTCTATTTAAATCTGAAGCTTTATTGTATATGTATGTGCATTGTACATATATTGTATACGTGTCTCAGAGCAAGTCATAGTAAAACATTTGGGGACAATAATGTGGATGTTAAAAATGAATAAATTAAGTAATTTCATAATTCTCCATTTGTTAAAAATTACACTAGACAGAAGTCTAGTCCTAAGAAAATGATGCACTGTAAATATTGGCAGAAGATTTCTAAACATGGATTCTTCAAAGCGACATTTGTATTCAGGGCCATTGATAAAAGATATATTTTATATGTAATAATTTCAGACCCTTTCACAGTGCAGAGAAAGGATTTATTTGCATACTAATATATTCCAATGGATAAATAATTCCTCCCCTTCTTTTCTTGCTAATCCTAATCACAAAGCTTAGATTCAATGTCAAATAAATCTCTGAAAGCTGGTAAAAGTCATTGCTGGGGAAGAGAAAAGTTATATACCTCTATCTGAAGCAGTGGACAGAGCCAAGGTTGCAGTCAAGTCCAAGGCTTACATTCCAGGTGTGCAATCATTTCCCTTTGTGACCTCAGACAAATGATTATACTTCCACATTCCTATTTCTTCATCTATAAAAAATGACAAGGAAAGTTTTGTGGTTGGGGGAGGATCTCAATGTTCATACTCAAACTATAGATCAGATTGTTATAATTAAAACCACAACATAATCCAGTCCCACAAACCTACAGTAGATGCCATACTATTATATCATTTGTCACTAAAAATCTGCTTATATTCTATCTGGTACTGATGTAAAGGTGATGTATTCTTTAAACAATAAAATAAATTCCATTAGAGTGTAGTACTGGCATTGTTCTTTCCCTGAATTCTTTTAACTCCTTCAAAACAGAATGATCTTGTGGGAAACATGAAAAAAAAAAAAAAGGCTGACTAAAGATATAGAATGTGAAACTCTTTAAGACTGAATACTTTCAGTATTACTCAAACTCCAGTTGTACTTTTAATATTACCCTTCATCTGAGAATGTAGGAGGAAAACACTTACTTGGATTATGTTTTTAGTTGAGTAGGAGAAAAGTGTTTCTAGTACTAGTTCTGTAAATAACTAGTATGTGACATTGGGCAATTATGTGACTTAGAGAAAAGCATTATATAATTATTTATTATGCATATTTAAGAGGCATTATAATAACATTGAGATAATTATAACAGCAAGTAATAAATCAATTGGAATTTTTTGCATTTTTAATGGTCACATGCGCACTATTAAATGAAGATGAAAAATAAGACATAAAAATTATATGCTTAGCACAATCTCATCTGCCAAGACTAGAAAGAAATCACAAAATGTTAGCAATTGGCTTTTCATTGTAGTGGAATTGTAAGTGATGTTATAATAGTCTCTCATATGTTTGCAATATCTTAGAAAACATTTATAAAGGAAAAGAGAAAATATACAATTTCCATGCAAAGAGAGTACTTTAGCTTCCATCTGCTAATTCTATAAATAACAGTGGTAATGACTTCAGAAAATACTCAGGTAATCCTATATACTGACAATATTTCATAATCAAAATGATAGTGATATTCCATGTCTTGCAGGAAGTGATTCCCAGATAGTTCTTATTTCCTCTGCTTATTACTGGGCTCCAATGACCTGGACATCAGGGATGGCAAAGAGGGAATAACTGCCCTTGCCACAGACCAGGGAGTCTTCCACTCCAGTGGACATGCTAAGAAACACCTTATTATGGAGCCACAAAATAACTCCTAATGACTAGAAGTCATGTCAAGCAAATGTACTAGCAAACCTCTGTGGTTTTTATTACCCAACCCTCTTCCTTTAGGAAACCACCTCCCTCTACCACAGAGGAGTCACCACCAGCCCACCCCAGCACCAAGGCTGCTCTATGCATGTGCCAAAGGCACACCAGTGTCAGAAATGTGCATACAAAGTTGTTTCCTAGCACAACTATGACCCATTTCTTAACTTGTTCTATATATTTATTGAGTTCAACTATGTGCCAAACCCAGGAGATGAAAAAATATATTCATTTTAAACATGTACATTTAAAATAAGCAAAATTTGACTCCAGACTCAGCAAGTAGTACTTGAAGATAAACTTGAAATTTGCCCCAAGGCATTAATAGAAAAATTGCATTTTAGAATCAGGTAGACTTGGGTTTGAATCCTGTCAGAGACATAATGATATGACATGATTAACTTACTTAGACTTTCTGAACTTTATTTACCTTCAAGGGGACTAATCAGGTTGGTAACATTTTAAATCTGGCAGATAATTATGATTCTCAATAAATATTGCCTTTGTTCAAGTAATATATATTAACAATTGAATGTAATCAAAATGAAAATAAATAATTATTACTTCAAAATCATACCAAAGAAAACAATAGTCAATTTTTCTGATCAGATCAATATGCCCCTGAGAAAATTTGATGAAGAATAACCCACCAGTCCTTCAATAAATTGTAATAAACTGAAATCATTCTAGATTTCAAAATGTTGTTTTATGTATTTCAACGAGCCCCCAAAGATGTTACAGAACCACCTCACCTCTCTCTGATCAGTCCAAACTATCCAATGGTAGGAAATACAAACAAACATAAATCTCACATACTGTTGAATTGTAGTCAAATCTTATATCAAAAGGCAATCGGCTCCTCAAGGGAAGGGGACTCATACTGTTTCCAGTGTCCAGTAGTCTAAGCCAAAATCTGCTCATGCGAGATGGTGAACCCAGAGCTGGTGACACACCAAGAAGTGGTAAATCAGGACCCAACTCATGGTGGCAGCTGAAGGTGCTCATAGGTGGCGCTGCTGAGCAGCACCGCGGCAGCCAACAGTAGACTGGACAACACTTACTGCAATAGTACCAGGCTGTGATACCAGGTGTGCTGGAAGCAGGGGTGGGGCCTTTGCTTACCAATTCATCCCTAAAGTCCAAATCTGTATTTCTTAGATATTTTGCCCCCATGAAACTCTTTGACATTCAAATTAACTAAAATATTTGAAATCCACTGTTTGGTGAGAGTAAAGGAGAACTCCACCTCTGTTCACAGCTCTTCATCTGCTCGCTCCTTTAAAGCTATGATAGGATCTAAAGCAAGGAAATAGCTGCCAAGACTTTGAAGATGCCATTTGTGTGCTCTTGATTCTATTGAAACGGTGTTTGGAAATAGGTCCGAATCTTCCTGATGTCTGAAGCCTTCTTTTCCTCATATATAGGATTATTTGATCCCCACCTACAGATTCCACCCCTCACCTCAAATCTCAGAGACCAATTCTGACATTTGGCAGAAAAGATACAGAAAAGATACAAGTAATGTCAACTCTCTATTCTATCATTCATCATCCTGTGATTCTTGATTCTATTTAGGGAGTAAATTGCATTCCAATCTCTGATTGTGAGCAATTAGAGGCAATGACGATGTCATTCATCTTTGCAACTGAAGAACCTAATGTATTCATGGCTTAAGGTAGACATTCAATAAGTGTTTAGTAACTGACTGCCTAATTGGACTGAGCTTCTGCTTTGTTGGCAAAATCTAATCACCAATAGTTTGGTGACCTTATCCCTGTTCTGATCCCTGCTGATTACCTTCCTAGCTCACTAGTCTTCTCAGACCCAGGGCCCATTCTTACTCCTGATAATTCACTCACATACCTAAATTCCTTCAGTGAGCATTCTACAGACACATTTTTGAGAATGGTAAAATTTTCCAACTTCTTGCATTTCCCAATTCTTCACCATCACTCTGGCATTCTCACTTGCCAGGGCACTGCCTCATCCAAATAGACTTTCCTTTGCTAGACTATCACTTTCACGAGTGTGATGTGTGCTACTTGAGGCCTTTCCCTAATCAATTATGTGTGTTAATAAGCAGAATCACTTGCTTTTACTAGAAGAAAATGATTTATATCTTAGCACGGGTCTATTCCATTCATCTATAAAATCCATCACTAGCCAAATTAGATCAGGGTTTTGTAATTTGTTGAATGCTAAACAGGAGAGATGGGCAAAGCAAATTTTATTTGTCAACAGAAAAATTTAGTCACCTTTAATGAACTTGTTTTTCCTCAGTAAATTGTGTGTATGAATTTGTTTGAGTGAATTGAACCACCGTCTCTGCCCCTGTGTTTCTTTTCAGTTACACAAGAAGTCAGCTTTCATATTGAAAGTTCTTGTTTCATCTTATTTCCCACAGTGTCAAACAATCTAATAAGCTGAAACAACAAATCACAATTTGAAGAATTCCTTTATTCTAATTCATCAATGGCTTAATTCATCAGAGAGTCTATAGATTCAAGTATTTTGACCATACATGACCAGTAGAAACTTACCTTAAGACAACATCTCAACCAAAAAACAACCTCTGCCAGTTCCAAATGCTATCATTAGGGTACAAATACATCCTTAGGGTTATTATAAGACAAAGAATTAGAAAAATTCCCTAGGATATGGGAAAATCAGAGAAATTTGTTAAATAATGGACAACATTGTCATCCATTTTTCAAAATTCTTTCTGAGTGATTGAGTAATGTGTGATTTTAAGAACATTTTCACTTGCTAAAAGGAAGATGACTCATGGTTTCAAAGACAAGTTGGTGCCAAGGGGAAGCAGGGCGATGCTCCCACTTTGTCTACCTCAGTGCTCTTAAAACTTAAACCTTTTTTAGAAACAATCTTTCTTAAAGGTCCATGTGAACAGAGGAAGCCTGAGGTCATGTTTGTCCATCTAATGCCACATCCTGCCACCAGCAACAGCCAAGGAGAATTCCTCAGAGAAAGGGCTGATGTTCATTTCCTAACACTTCTTCTTAAGAGTGAGATAAAACACTGAAGTGAAAATATTTTCCTCTCACATTTATTTACCACATGAGAAAATATAAAAGATTAATGTTTAAGGGAAAATGAGTACTAGGTCAGTTCTCTCCTCAACTTAAAATATAACTGTCACCAAATGTAAGAACTGTGTAATTTTAGTTAGGTCACTTTTTGCCATTAACTTGACTTAAAGTCCAGGGCAAGTAAACTATTAAATTTCTATGCGGTTATGGTAAAATATGATAATTATATTTAAATTTCTCCCCATAGCTGATTAATATAGAAAGTCAAAGAGGAGAAAGATGGTTGTAGCAGTTCATCATTTGATTGCTTTTAATTGCCATAAAAATTCCTTCTGAAGTAGACCATCCTTTTTGCTCAGATGTGTTGGAGAGAAAATCTTCTTTTGCCCTTCTCAAAATGTGAAATGTCCATCACAGAGCTAGCTGAGAGAATATTCTGAAGCACTGTTAATCATGATTGCCCGTGACCCCACCAAGCATGGGAACCAAACAATCACAATCTGTAATACCTTGTACAGATTTTCCAATAGTACTATATCATTATGTATCTTTAAATACTTTCATTCTGGCCATTCAAAGCAGCGAAATTTAAAAGCTCACATACTGATTGATTCTTGGCCTTTCTCCTTAAAAACTGTGTCAATATTCACACTGGCATCCTATACAGAATCATGAGGATCAGAAGCAGCTCCCTAACAAGTATCTTATAGTCCCACTCC